CTCTTGGGCTACTTTTATTTGACCGAATATGTTTGTCACTCTTATAAGCGTATCCAAAGTGCTAATCACATTTCTATGGTAACTGGAAGCGAACCATGAATTTTCAGATTCACATTCTAGGTGTGCTGACTACTAGGCCACACCTGACCCATATCATTTTAATACATATTTATTTCTATAGTGATGTTTGGCATAGTGGTTATAAGTATAAGATTTACAGAAGAAGCAGAGTTGCTGTCTCCAGAGCTATGTTAGGGAAACACAAGGATCTATTGCTCGTCTATTGTCATTTCCGTAAAATACATGCGTTTTGGAATTCCAGGAAGGAAATGTTTGTTTATATAGTAATTAAAAGTGGCAGTTTGAAATGTAGCAAACTGTCGTTCTAAGCCTACTAGGCTTGGAATGCTTTTCTGGATGTTTAATTTTGAATATTTTCTTTAACTACCCTTCATAAACGTACAAGCCAATTTTGATAGGCTTTGTTAAGACAAGGTTGGACAAGAGATTTTTATGATTTAACTGTCTTATTAAATAAGATACATTTCACTAAAATATCAGGTATAATCATTAAAAGTTATCAAGCTCCTCAGTTCTTATACTGCTTAAGTTCAGGGTTTCATCCTTACAGTGGACACAACTGACAAACTGAAACTGAGAAAACATAAATATCATGGAATGTTTAACGATTTTTTTTCCAAGCACACACACACACACACACACACACACCTGCCTGTGGGCTGTCGATTAATCACAGTGTTTTTTGGAATGTCTTCGAAATGCACCAGAAGGTTGTTAATTTTTATTGAGTTATTTTCATAAATGAATGGATTTCATCTGTTCAGAAATTAAAAAGTTAAAATTTGTAAAATGATATAAGTATTCTCTAAGAAATCTAACCAACTGACGTTACAGAACTCTTTCAATTTAGGCAATTCAAGTCACTATAGCTATGATGTTACATAACTCTTTCAATTTAGGCAATTCAAGTCACTATAGCTATGATGTCACATAACTCTTTCAATTTAGGCAATTCAAGTCACTATAACTATGACGTTACATAACTTTCAATTTAGGTAATTCAAGTCACTATAGCTATGACATTACATAACTCTTTCAATTCAGATAATTCAAGTCACTATAGCTATGACGTTACATAACTCTTTTAATTCAGGCAATTCAAGTCACTATAACCTGAATTGAAAGAGTTATGTAACGTCATAGTAATTCAAGTCACTATAGCTATGACGTTATATAACTCTTTCAATTTAAGCAATTCAAGTCACTATAGCTATGACATTACGTAACTCTTTCGATTCAGGTAATTCAAGTCACTATAGCTATCTCGCACCGTCTTTTTCAGTTTAAAAAGTGGAACAATATAACTACATTAACAGAACTGACTTTATGTACATCAATGATGACTGTTCAGATAGGTGTAGTTTTTTTACCGGTTCTTTAACACTAATTTCATTACTACAGTTTTGAAAGCTTTGTTGCTGCCAAAGTATTGTATAACTATTGTTCTTTTCATCATTTATAACAAATCAGGCAGATATATTCTTTACTTTGGAAAATAAAAATCATGAGACAGTTACATTGGCTCATTTATTTCTAACTCTCCTGGACAGAATCTAATGTCACTGAATAATGTTAGTCATCAAATTATGTATTTCATAAAATTTAATATTAACAATAGTCTAGTATATGAACTAACCCTATCTATTCAAATGTGCATGGTGGTGTTCTGATTTATATCCAGGGACAAGTGCTAGTATTTCACCATGTGCGTGTAAAATTGCCATAAGTGATAATTTTTCCAAAACTGAAATGTGCAGTACAAGTAAATTAATATGTGCTCTATAATTCAAGTAAAAAGCAGTGTTTTTTTGTGGTTGTTTTTTAGTATTTCATCAACCTTTTTGTGATAAATAAAATTTGTTTTCTCAGTGAAGTTCTGTAGAGAAAAAATGTGCACTTTTTACTTACTATGGTTATGTTTACCAAGTGTCTGTCTGCTTGTTGAAGTGTTTTACATACTATAATTATATTTACCAAGTGTCAGTCTGCTTGTTGAAGTGTTTTTACATACTATAATTATGTTTACCAAATGTCTGTCTGCTTGTTTAAGTGTGTTTACTTACTTTAGTTATATTTACCAAGTGTCTGTCTATTTGTTCAAGTGTTTTACTTACTATAGTTTTGTTTACCAAGTGTCAGTCTGCTTGTTGAAGTGTTTTTATTTATTATTGGTCTACCAAGTGTCTGCTTGCTTAAGTGTTTTTACTTACTATAGTTATGTTTACCAAGTGTCAGCCTGCTTGTTGAAGTGTTTTTACTTACTATAGATATATTTACCAAGTGTCTGTCTGCTTTTTGAAGTGTTTTTACTTACTATAGTTATATTTACCAAGTGTCAGCCTGCTTGTTGAAGTGTTTTTACTTACTTTAGTTATATTTACGAAGTGTCAGCCTGCTTTTTCAAGTGTTTTTAATTACTATAGTTATTTTTACCAAGTGTCAGTCTGCTTTTTCAAGTGTTTTTACTTACTATAGTTAAATTTACCAAGTGTCAGCCTGCTTGTTGAAGTGTTTTTACTTACTTTAGTTATATTTACCAAGTGTCAGCCTGCTTGTTGAAGTGTTTTCACTTACTATAATTATATTTACCAAGTGTCTGTCTGCTTGTTGAAGTGTTTTTACTTACTATAGTTATATTTACCAAGTGTCTGTCTGCTTGTTGAAGTGTTTTTACTTACCATAGTTACATTTACCCAGTGTCTATCTACTTCTTCAATTTGTTTTACTTGCTATAGTTATGTTTACCAAGTGTCTGTCTACTTGTTTAAGTATTTTACATACTGTTGTTTTGTTTATCAAGTGACTAGCTGCTTGTTCAAGTGTTTTACTTTGCTTGTTCAAGTTTTTTTCGTATATAAATTTTATGGTCTTTGTTAAAGATTAAAGTGAACTAAGTATAAAAGAACAACTGTAAATTACAATAAATGATTAATGAATTTATAATGCCTAATAACTTAATGTTTAAGTTGAAGATTAACCATTATAAACTATGTTAAAGTAACGAAAGTCTGTTATTCTAATGTTTCTCTTGTACGTGCACCCATAATAATATTTGATGAGAAGTCTTGTGTCTTTATACGTATATACTAACCTACCAAAAGTCATGTGACACAGGTAGTTATTAATAAAACATGTCCTTATTCCAAGAAATTAATAGTCTTTTGGCCTTGACTGCTTCAACGTGGAAGACTGTGTACTAATTTCTGGTAGAAAGTTGGTGGTACTGTGCTCCACTCCTCCTTTAAAGCATTAGGAAGCTCCATTACTGAAGAGAGCCATCTTGGCCTTGCCCTGATTCTGCATTCCAGTTCATCCCAAAGATGTTCTATCGGGTTGAGTTTGGGGCTCTGTGCTGGCCACTGCAATGTTCCGATGTTATTTTCTTCAAACCACGCGTTCACAATCCTTGCTTTGTGACATGGAGCATTATCATGTTGGAAGGTGTAAGGGCCAGTACCATAAAATTGTCACAATGTAGGACACACAGAATTGTTCAGAACATTAATGTTGGACTCGGCATTTATGGATTCATGCACTGCGACCAGTGGACCTAGTCCATACACGAGAAGCACACCCAGACCATGATACCACCAGCTCCAAACTTTACTGTTGTGACAACACACTCAGGTAATAAGCATTTTCCAGGCATCATCCATACCTAAACATGTTCATCAGAGTGAAAGAGCGTGTAGCGTGACTCGTTGCTCCATAGGACCTATTTCCATTGATCCACGGTCCAGGTTCGATGTGCTTTGCCCTCTGACAATCGGCAGTGTGCATTTGTTTTTATCATCAATGGCTTGTGGGCTGCAGCTCTTCCATGAAAATTCATGGCATGCAGCTCTCGACGTGTCATGGAAACACTTATAGATTGCCTGTGGCTGCTTGCATATCCAAACACACATTCTTTAGAGTCTGATGGCAAGGTGAGGTAACCAGCCTTTTCAAGACGCGTCGGCTCCTATCAGTCAGTATTTTACGGCTACCTGTTGTTTCTTGCTCATTGTTACCGGTGGACTTCTATTTCTTCAGCACGTTGCCAATTGTCGACCTAGTAGTATTTAATTTTTGCAATAGCACGTACAGACATTTTCCCCAAATGACATCCAATTATCCTTCCCTTCTGAAACTCTGTTAGATCTTTCCGAGTACTTATTGTTCGGCGTACAAGTTCGAAATGACTTCCGAGCGAACCGCTGATCATCCTTATAGGCCAAACTATTTGCATATTTCGTCATCACAACCATTTTCTTGCAATGAAAGGTGCATCCCATGACTTTTGGCAGAATAGTGTATATGTGTTTTTTTTGGGGGGGGGGCATCTCCTGATAAACTAGAACAAAAGAAAAGAAAAAAGTAATCCAGGGAGATAATAAAAATCACTTTTATGATGTACCCAAGAAATAATGATGTTCACTATTTACTAAGTTTTTTGTTATTTTTATGCTTTGGAGCATCTTGTTGTGGATAATGGGGTTTTAGAATAGCCAGTATAAGAAATATACGAATAATATCGAATATTATCAAGAGGGAATTCATTATAAGCTCAAGTGCATGCAATGATAAAAAGAGTTGGGAAAGAAAAGCTTAAGATGAATATTACAAGAAAAATTTCACTGTAGCCTTTAGTATTAGCAATATCACAAACATAGAAAATTAAAATGCAGATTCCAGGAGGGAATTAGAAAAGGAATTTCCCTGGAGAATAAATCTTCATAAAATTTTACCAGTTTTGATGTTCTGTAGTCACCATTAAAACTGAAATACTTAAATGACTTATGTAGATTAATAATTACATTAGAGGGTAAAACATGGAGTAAGTTTGGTTTCATCTGACCCATTTAAGCACTTTCACCTCAAAAATTCAGTTGCACTTAGTGGTTATATTTGTTGTGATTCTTTTTTTTTCTTTTATATAGCTAAACGAAAGTCTGGAATCTTTTCAAAACTCTTTTGAAGCAGTCACTCAGGAGTTACAGAAACCCCTTCAACAACCAGCCATTGTTGTGGAATATGCCATAGAAAACCAAGACATTGGCCAATTACAAAGTTCCAGAACAGAAGGAGACATTCCTCCAGTTGAACAAGATGACACTATAGAATCTACATCTGACCAGGATATTATAGCATTACAAAGCACCAAAACAGAAGGAGACATTCCTCCAGTTGAACAAGATGACGCTATAGAATCTACATCTGAACAGGATATTATAGTATTACAAAGCTTCAAAACAGAAGGAGACATTCCTCCAGTTGAACAAGATGATACTATAGAATCTCCATCTGACCAGGATATTATAGCATTACAAAGTTCCAAAACAGAAGGAGACATCCCTCCAGTTCATCAAAGTGACCCAATAGAATCCACAGATGATCAAGATGTATGTCAAATACAGCATTTCAGGACAGAAGAAGACAATCCTTTGGTTAATCAAAATTATTATACATATTCTACTGCAGACCAAGATGTTAGCCAAGAACAGAGTTCGAGAACTGAAGAAGACGTTCCCCCGATTGAACAAAATGACTGTATAGATTCTACAGCTGACCAAGATGCTAGCCAAGAACAGAGTTCCAGGACCGAAGAAGACATTATTCCAGATCAACAAGATGACCATATAGATTCTACAACTGACCAGGATGTTAGCCAAGAACAGAGTTCTAGAACCGAAGAGGACGCTCCTCCGATTGAACAAGATGACCCTATGGATTCTATAGCTGACCACGATATTATCCAACAAGAGAGTTCCAGAATCGAAGAAGATGTTTCTCCGGTTGAACAAGATGACCATATGGATTCTGCAACAGTGGCAAATCATAACGTTAGGAATGTAGATAAAGAAGTTCAGGAATATAAAAGTGAAGGTTTTTCACAAGATGGTGTTCTATGTCAAGCATCCACTGAACTTACTGATAGTGTTGAGAACAACGGATCTATAAAAGATACAGAAGTCACACACAACATATAAAAGTCAGGGAAGATTGGTAAAGCAATCTCAAGAACGTTAAGCCTTTCATGTTTGGTAGTTGATGTGTTAATATTACATATCATCGGTAGGCATATTATTTATCTCAACCATTTAGATTAGTCATAAATTTCCTCTCACGTTAAAGTTATTACGCACTTTAGATTGTATCATTCTCTTTATCGCACGTAGATCTAGGCTTAAATAGTATCAAGTCATAAGAGCTAGGCTTAAACTTTGCCAAACTGTATAGACATCAAGAAATTGTCGTAGTTGGATAAAGGGCCCATTTTTTTAATTCCTTTAAACTTTTATGCTTAAAAATAATTCAGGCTAATAGCAACAGGGAAATGCTGAGTTTAACTTTGTAATTGTAGTGGAATATTGTGTAAGCAACTTGCAAGCTTTTAAATCTCAATTATAATCTAATAATTGAGAAACTAGAATAATAGCAAGCGATAAAATTTATCTTTTAGTAACTTCGATACTTTCTTAATAATCGTCTTCTGCCTGTTTCACATTAACTATATCTGGTATTTTCAGTATTTTGTCCGTTCCCAAACATGGAGGTTTATTCATATAGAAGTGTGTGTGTGTATTAATACATAATGTAAAAATGAGAAGAATGAATACGGTAAACAACAGGACTCTGATTAATATATACCATTTGTATATTTGTAAGTATAAAATAATTTAAACTGACCAGAAGGTTTTCTAGTCTTTATAACATTTAATGCCAGTAAAAAAGTGATGTTTACTTCATTTTTGCTATATTTGTTATCGATGTAGTTCGTGCCATAATGAATCTTGTATGTTAAACATTACGTAGTTTACGGTAAGATTATGTTTATAACACAACAAGGCTGCAAAGATTACGGGACTGAACCATCTAAAGGTAGAAATCGGGAAAGGTGTTCATTTTAAAAGAAATATCTTTCTTATGTAGTATATGTAAACAGTAAATTATTTTGTTCCTCCCCAAGGCTTGATTTCTTTTTGTGAATGAAAGGATTTGTGTAGAAGGCGCCAACCCTTTTACTGTTGGCTTGTTCATAGTACCAGTTCATCTTCCTAAGCCTCTAATACTTACCTAAGAAGCTTTTATACTGAAATCCCTTAAATATGTGCTTGTTCATAGTACCTGCTCGTCCTTCTATGTCGCTAGTACCCATCTAAGAAGCTTTTATACCGAAATCCCTTAAATATGTGCTTGTTCATAGTACCTGCTCGTCCTTCTATGTCGCTAGTACCCACCTAAGAAACGTCTTTCAGAACTCCTTAACAATGGGCTTGTTCATAGTATCAGCTCGTCCTTCTAAGTCACTAATACCCACCTAAGAAACATTTCCAGAACCCCTTAACAATGGGCTTGTTCATACTATCAGCTCGTCCTTCTAAGTCACTAGTACCCACCTGAGAAATATTTCCAGAACCCCTTAACAATGGGCTTGTTCATAGTATCAGCTCGTCCTTCTATGTCACTAGTACCCACCTGAGAAACATTTCCAGAACCCCTTAACAATGGGCTTGTTCATAGTATCAGCTCGTCCTTCTAAGTCACTAGTACCAACCTGAGAAATATTTCCAGAACCCCTTAACAATGGGCTTGTTCATAGTATCAGCTCGTCCTTCTAAGTCACAAGTACCCACCTAAGAAGCTTTTTTTTTCTTTTCCTTGCGTGAAAATAACATATATATACATGTAGATGTTTAACCTTTCTCAAGACATCATCATCATTCTGATTTTCACGTATTCTTGTGTATGCCTCTTTTTACCCATTTATTTGTTAAAAACGTGCACAATTAAAGTAGCTAGTTGCTGTATTTTGTACATGTGTTAATACCCGATTTTTTTGACATTGATAAAAAGGGTACAAAGATAGCTCTTGTGTTTTTTGTTTGTTTATTTTGAAGTAGTAATGAGCTAATAGTACTGTGGCTTTCTGTTGTGAGTGCTATTACTAATCCTTTGTTTCGGTCAGGTGTGTCTTGTAATATGGGATAAGTTGGTGATATGGCACGATACTAATGCCCTGTTGCCATTGCCTGGCTTAGTTGTGCACAATAATTATTTATGTTGGGTTTAACTAGTTTATTTAATATAACAGACTGTGAAGCGTTCAGGGAATCGAACTCTTGATTGTCATGATAAGTGACCTATTTTGATTATTCTTATATTAGCGACTTTGTCTCGCCGAACCGGGTTTGAAACTCGGTCAACCTAACTAGAAACACTTTAAAAAAATTAAAACCTTTATTGATTGACTGTGAGAATAATTGTGAATTATCGATGTTAGACTGTCTTTTCTAACATATAGTAAATATTTGTATTATAAATCTATAACTGAGCAGTATCCGATGGTTTTCTGCTAGCTCATTTAGTGTGATATGAATAAGTTGCAGACGTTTTTAGTGTACAGAGTGACTTGTGAATAATGTGTTTTAGCATACAGAGTGACTTGTGAATAATGTGTTTTAGTGTACAGAGTGACTAGTGAATAATGTGTTTTACTGTACAGAATGACTTGTGAATAATGTGTTTTAGCGTACAGAGTGACTTGTGAATAATGTGCATTTTTTGCACTAGATAGACTTGTTTTAGTTCATTTTATTATGTAACACAAAGTAAATAGCCTAACGTTTTGTTTCCCCGAAAGGGGGCCGAATCGAAAGCCGCCTGGAGGGGTCACCTGTTTTAACCACTCGCACCAGTAGTGGGTTGTCTGTTAGTCAGTAAATCATGCGCATGCAATGACTCACGAGAATAATTATTCATTCTGTAGGCTACAACACAGCATGACATATGAACTTCAAAAACAAGAAATACAAATATTTGCTGCTCTTAAGTTTGGTTTTATTTACTCTTGAAATAGAACACTTCCGGGGACCCTGCGGAAGTACACCTAGTATCTAGTATTGTGTGTTACAAAACGTTAATCTTAAGTGTTTGGTAACAAATATCGTGGTACTATGAGTAAATATAGAAGTACGATATGAAATGTTATGCGGTACGAAAATTAATAGCCTACATAATGCGTGTCAAGTCTTGAAATACAAAATGAATAGTCTTTTTCTTGTCCTCTCACTTTTGCAGTAAAAGTAGTTAGGGTGTTTGATTCGTGGTACACAATGTATAGCTTGCATTTATATTATTGATTGAAAATTCTATAATTGTGGTACATAATTAGTGGTTTATGTTGGTGGTGTAGAATAAATAGCCAGTGTTTGTAGTACAGAATGAATTCTATGTGCTTGTGATACAGAAAATATGGTTTGTGTTGCTGGTGTAGAATAAATAGCCAGTGTTTGTAGTACAGAATGAATTCTGTGTGCTTGTGATACAGAATGGTTTGTGTTGGTGGTGTAGAATAAATAGCCAGTGTTTGTAGTACAGAATGAATTCTGTGTGCTTGTGATACAGAATGGTTTGTGTTGGTGGTGTAGAATAAATAGCCAGTGTTTGTAGTACAGAATGAATTCT